CCAGAAGCGGTGAATGCTCCAACACTGGAAGTTTTTAAGAAGAGACTGGACAGCCATTTGTCCAAAATGGTATAGGGTTTCCTGCCTGAGCAGGGGGTTGGACTCGATGACCTCCAAGGTCCCTTCCAACTTTATTATTATTATTATTATTATTATTATTATTATTATTATTATTATTATTATTATTATTATTATTATTCCTCAACTTACAACCACAATTGAGAGCAAAATTTCCACGGCTAAGCAAGGTTGTTGTTAAGTGAGGCGGGCCCAATTTTACGACTTTTTTTTTGCCATAGCTAAGTGCATCACTGCAGCTGTTAAGTAGATCACATGGTCACTAAGTGAATCTGGCTTTCTCCATTGAATTTTCTTGTTGAAAGCCAGCTGGGAAGGTCACAAATGGCAATCGCATGATCCCAGGATGCTGCAACCATTGTAAACACATGCTGGCTGCCAAGCAACCATATTCTAATCACGTTGAGTGTGGGGATGCTGCAAATGGTTGATAAGTGCAAGGACAGGTCATAACCACTTTTTTCAGTGCATTGTAACTTTGAAAGGTCACTAAATGAATGGTTGTAAATTGAGGACTACCTGTAAGATCTGAATTCAGCTTATGGTGGGCCCAAATAATTAGACTAATCCAAGAAAAACGTGGACATGTGATGCCAACACCCACTCGTAAACTGTACTCAGAAAAGAAAGGTTACAAGAAGCTGATAAATCATGTAAAATGGCAGGAGGGGACTTTAATAAAGTCTCTGACAATCAGCTTCTTTAGCACACAGCACTCCTTTAAGTAGGGATTTATCATTTCCACTCCTCATAGCCAGCCAAGATGGGCGCAGGTCCAAAATGCATGAGGCTTGGCCTCGCTCCTCCGAGCAACCTGTCCATCAAGCCGCTTAGGCTGCATGAACTGAAAATCATCGTTTCTGGAGCACTGCCTATCTCTGTCATCTCACCAGCACCTGCTCTGAATGTGAAGTCTTAGCTGGGAGAGACACAAGTTATTCTATCAGCGAAATCCTTTGCAGACCTGTGCAAAGTTCCTGCTCAGCAGGCTAGGTAGTACGTCAACTCATAGACTGCTATCTCTCTGAATCACCACTTTGTATTTGGCTCTGGATAACAGATTTCCATTGTGTCTGGGAGACGGGATTTATAAATCACAATCCTGGGCAGAATCTGAAAGAAGATGGGACTAATTTACAATGGAAAGCACATGGCTTCCTCCGATTAAAGCTCTGTTCTTCTTCCACGTTGACGGTGCAATGATTCGAACCCAGCCTGATCTCTACCACACCGCCATCTGTTCCATTTGCTGGTCATTCCCCAAACCCACTTTTTCTATACTTGTCCCCATCAAATTCAGATTGCAAACAAGAGTCCATTACCACTCCTCTAAGGATAAGATGTGAGCCTGGGAGGACTTTATCAACCCTGAAGTTGGTAAAGGCTCACTAGTCATCACTTAACGATGAGGGGGCTTATTTGTTGGCTGGGGAATTCTGGGAGTTGAAGTCCACAAAAAGTTGTCAAGGTTGGACACCTCTGAATAGTAGTCTTGTCAGGCCCAAAACCAAGAATGACACATGGTAATTCTTCCAAGCTGATGTCTTTATTGTTTACCACTTATCTTGCCAGAGTAAGTTATTATCTGCATCTACCATATACTCTGTGAACTATTAGGGAGGGGCTGTCTTCGCCCTCTTTCTCTCACACATAACATCTGGGCTGAGTTGCCCCTTACCTCTCTGAAATGCACCCCCCCTCTCTCTAGTTCCTCACTAGATCCTGTCAGAAGTCCTCAGTGTCAATAGCATTAGTGCAAACACTCAAAAGATACCTATTTCAGAATTGTTCCTTGACCTGGGCAGCCAAGATTGTAGTCTAGACAGGGCTTCTGCTGTGCCTTTGTTTTGCCTGCTCTCTGGGATTTGATGGAAATGGGGTCCAGTTATTATCCTCCATTTAACACCCTTCCAGGTTTTCCTACTGCTTCTTCTATCCCTTCCCTTACCACAACCCCAAAACCAACACCGAGAAAATAAGACATTTAAACAGGCTAACGTCTTATTAGGTCTCCTAGTGCAGGGGTGTCAATAGCATAATTTATCTAAGCAGGACACCCTGTATTTCAAGGACCAAAATTAATTAGAAGCTGACCTAAGCCAGCCTGTTTATTTA